AAAATGTTTCTCCATGCGTGCATTGGTTCTTTATAAGACTTGTTGAGCTCATGTATTACTTCAAGTAATTTACTTTATTGGTTAATTAGTTAATTTGGTGCTTGGTAGTTCAATAGTTATACCAGGTGGTATGGATATAATGAAGCTAGGAACTCCAATTTGCTTGATTTGAATGGAAACTAGGTGGGTTAAGGTAAACCTGGCTTTTCAAAGAGGTGGAAGAACCTACAATTTTAGAAAAGATTAAGCTGTATCTGACTTTAATCATATAAAATATGAAGGTGAATTGCCTATTTATTCTTCTTTTTAGCTCCATGTGATAGAAGCAGGTCTTAAGAACATGTTAAATGTGAAAATTAGACAAAAAAAAGGGCAAGGGAAGTTGGTCACTTAGTCTTATACTGAGAAGCATGTTGGGATGCCACCTTGTTGGGCGATGCCTATAGGCTATGGAAGCTAAAGTTCATAGTCCATGACTGGAGCCAGGTCTCAATACCATTGTTATGTAATGGGAATTTTATTCCCTATTGCTCTTATCAATTGGTGACTTGGCTATTAAGGAAGCTTTAGATCCCACAACCTTTAGGCGTTATCCAAAGAGAGAGCTAGAAAATACCATAGTTGCTACTTAGAACTCAACATTTTCTAATGTACACTAAGGTTTCAGATAATTTGTATCAATCGTGTGTCTATGGTTCAATCTTCATTCTTAACCACTGACAGACAATTTGCCAATTTAATAGTTACAAGGAGAGGAATGCTTTTGCTATCAGATACTCTACTTGTTGACCAACTCTTCAATTAACCTTGCAGGCCAAAATTTGAGGACGAGATTACCCCACAATTAAAACATACTGGAGCAGGTATTATGTCTATGGCCAATGCTGGACCTAACTCAAATGGGAGCCAGTTCTTTATTACCTTGGCACCTGCACAATCACTGGATGGTAAGTACAAATATTAAGATAGTTTACCTTAACTCTGATAAAAATAGTTTAAAATACATTGTTGAATACTCTCATTTGACTCCCATATAATTGGTGCTAATGATTGTAGTCTGCCAATCTATTTCACAAATGTGCCGAGCTGTCTGTTTAAGCCAGTTTCTTTAATCCTTTAAATACATAGCAACATATTTTCGAGATTTGCATCAATGAAATGTCAGGACAAAAGTATTTAGATACCACCTGTAGTCAATCTTTGAGTAGGTTTAGGGTGGCAATTTAATGCTCATTGTTTGTACTCACGTTTGACGAAGTTGCAATTTGAGCTGATGGAGAGTTACATACTATTATATTAGGTAAGCATACCATATTTGGAAGAGTATGTCGAGGAATGGAAATCATCAAGAGACTTGGCAGTGTTCAAACTGATAACACTGATAGGTAAATCACTTTGACTGCATCTCAAAAAATTTGTTGAGACCACAGTGAGCACCCACTGCTCGACTGAAAGCTCTTACCTTGGCACCACGAAATGGTTTCGATCAGTGCTGCAAAAACCGCGCCTAGGCGCTAGGCGGTCGGCCTCCTAGGCGCTCTAGGCACCCTAGGCGGTCCCCAGGCGCCTAGCGATTTTTTCAACATTGGTTTCGATCGACTGTTTTAGTTTGATCACATAGAATTGGTTTTGATTCATTTATCTCTGCGATGGCTTCTTTCTATCTCAATGCAGACCCATCCATGATGTGAAGATACTAAGGGCAACTGTCAAAGATTGATTGATATTTGTTTAGTAGCAGAAGCACCCTAGTTTTTTGACAGCAGCTATGGAGATGATGCTATAGTCAGCTGTACCTTGTACTTGAGAGTTGGAGAAACTCCATTGATACTGAGATAGACTTCATTTCTAAGCATATTTTAAAGCATTTAAACTTTCTCCAGGCTGGCTTCATTTAGCTTGTATTCCTGCCAATTGTTATTATCTGTATGAATGGTAAGTGAAGTCTTCCTATTTGTGCTGTTAACCTATACAGTTTCCATGCCTGGAATGCTCTTTATTTAAATATTTACTCCATATTAAAATCATTTTCTGGTCTAGTCTAGTCTATATGGTGACCATAATTGTTCATGTGTGTGTATAGCCTATAGGGTTAGAAAGGGAAAAATGTTAACATTTTGAGAAAATATTTAAAGTGCACCCAGTGATAAGTAATGTGCAACATCTCGAGTGCACTTTAACATATTATCAAATATATTTTGAAATTGTGCGCAATGTACTTCAAAATTTGAAAATGTCAAAATTTTATTTTTCCCCAAGTCAACATGACTCTTTATGTTTGCTAACTATCCAAAGTGAATTGTTAAGACTAAGTTGACACAGTATTGATTGGTGTCGTAGCCATAATATATAACCATGTCCGATGATGCAAACACTATGTTACAATATATAGACAAGATCAAATGAAAACAGAGGTCTCAGACCAACATGTTTATCAATGATTGATGGTTTTAATATTAGAAAAAAAAAAATTGACAAAAGTGTCAAATAAGCTCATCTATTAATTAATTGTTTTTCCAGATTACTATCCGGTTGACCATACCACCTCTGGAAATAAATTTATGGCATGTTTGGTTCATGGAATAGGTCAGGAATGGAATAACATTCATTGGAATAGACTTATTCCATTGTTTGGTTCGCCACTTTGTCAAGGAAATACTATTCCTAGGAATGTCGTATTCCCTTTGCAAGGGGAATAGTCATTCCTAGGGGGGCCTTGGTATTAGCTATTCTCATACTTATGGAAATAGCTTTTACATTACAAATACCAAAAATAGCCTTACATACATGGTTATATATATATATATATATATATATATATATATATATATATATATATATATATATATATATATATATATATATATATATATATATATATATATATATATATATATATATATATATATATACACACACACGCACACACACATTTATATATATATATATTTTATTTTACTCATAATTAAATTTATTTTCTATTTCACCACCACCGCCGCTGCCACCATCGTCACCGCCGCCGCCACCACCACATATTTTTATAAGGGTATTTATGTCTTTTAAAACATATTTCATTTATATTCTTTAAACCAACCAAACACTGTAATATAATTCCTAAAGTCTAATCCTTCCGTTAACCAAACAATAGAATACAATAACTATTCTATTCCTTGCCTATTCCATTCCTTATAGAATAACATTCCGTGAACCAAACGCTGTTATAGAATAACATTCCTATTACCCCAAAATTCATTCCGTGAACCAAACGTGCTGTTAATGACATGGCAGTCCCTTCATCCCACTATCCCAGTCAACCTCCACCACCACCTGCTTTCATCCCAGTCAACCTCCACCACCGCTTTCATCATCAACACAACCACCAGAATCACTCTGTGTTCACTTTACCGGGGTCGCTCGAATTGGGTTATTGGGCGATCAGAAGTAGCAGAGACGTCGTGCGATCGGACTCCGATTGCGTCGCTCAAAGCTTTGCCGACGATCGTGCCTTTGCATGGACAACCAGAGCTCGGCGATGCCATTCCGCAACCTTCTCAAAGCTTCGTCACTCATCAGTGAGGTGATCGCAATCTTCAATCTCAGGATCGGCGACCTCTTGCGGAGTCTCACATCGCGATCCAAAATTCGTCTTTTGCGACTTCTCCGACGATCGGGCCCAAAATGCATAGATTTTCGTATAAATAATATTCTTCGACGATCGGGCCCAAAATACAACATATATTTTGCTTGCAAAAGATTTTCTCGGTCAATTAGCAGCCGCCAGGGCTGGCAGCGAGAGGGGTCTGACGAGGCCTTCAATCGTTGATTAATCTCGATCCAAGACAGAATCGGCCGCACTCAAGGCAGATTTTTCGCGAGCGACAATCAATTTTTGGAAATCAAGAGAGCGAGATAAGAACATCGAGGATTATTAAAGGCGAATATGAGATGACGGGGAGAAAATTGGAAGGAATGCCGTTTGTGTCAATCAAAGGTGAGGAATGGAGTAATCTGGTACTCAAAGAAGAAAAACTCACCTTGATTGGGCGTTTTCAGCAGGAGAGACCGTCGTCAATGGAGTCTTCACCTGCTCCACCGACGTCGGTGGCTGAAATGTCGTCGTCAATCGGTGGATGTTGGTTCGTATTTGGGAAAATATTGGGAGTTTAGCTTAGGGAGATTTTGGTAATATCCAACTATTATGAAGTAACACATTAAAATAATTTATCATGCCACATCAACTTAACCGGCCGCCAAGTCGTCACAATCGGAGGAAAACCTAGAAAAATAAAAATAAAATAAAATAAAAAACTAATTCAACAATTTTAAGAAATTAAAGTGCCTGATTGCACTATATTTTAGATCGTAGAGGGAATTGAACTCTTCGCAGTAGTAGATGGGCCTATTTAACACTTCCACCTTCTATTTCTTGTGGATGTGTCCACATTTTTTTCAGAGGAAAGTGTTACCCTCTATGTATTTGTCATGGTTGCAATAGGCGCTCGGCGCTAGTCAGGCGATAGAGTAGCGCCTAGACGGCCTAGGCGGGCCTAAGCAGCCTAGGCAGCTAACTTTAAAAAATGAAAAGCAGTGCACGTGTGTAGGTGCATATATGTCATATTATACATACACACACACACACACACACACACACACACACACACACACACACACACACACCCACATATATATATATATATATATATATATATATATATATATATATATATATATAAATGAAAAAAATTAGCAAGGTCCAACTGACCGGATTAACTCGGCTAACTCGACAGAAATTGACGAGTAAACTCGGCGTAATCGGCCGAGTTAGGCGCTAGGCGGGCGCCTAGGCAGCCGGTCTCCTAGGCGGGAGCCTAGGGGGGGAAATCGCCACGGCCTAGGGGCGCCTAGCGCCTAGGCGCCGATTACTCAATGCCTAGGCGGGATTTTTGTAACCCTGCTATTTGTACGTGTGTATAAACTTGCTAATACAACTTTATTTAAAATTACTTGTGAATTCCATCGACAATAATCTCTTCAATAAAATAACTTGCTAATTATTACATTGACAACCTCACTTCCCTTTCGAGTACTCTAAAATGGCAATGGCAGGGGTAGTTTAAAGTTTAAACCAATCAAGCGCAAAAGAAGTAAACTACAGAAACTAGAAAAGGATGACAGGCGTCTTCTTCTCCAAATTTCTAATGCAAATTATGAGAATCAAATTAGAAGGGCATTTTCAATCCCCATAATTCATCTTTTTGTTTTTATACAGAGACCCCATTACATAATCTAGGGGAATGTTAAAATGAATGACTAAGCAGGCCCCCAACACTCATCAATCACTATTAACTCCACAAAACCTCTAATGCACTGCTGCTGCATTTTCATCTTCTAAAGGAACAATTCTCTTGCCACTGCTTTCCCCTTGTGGCGATGCACTATGCAACTCCATAACCAAATCTAGTTATATGTCTAACAGCACCTTAAGCCCCATTAAGTAATTATGATACACAGGCTTTATCTGGACAGATCCTATTACTGGAAATTCCTGTGAATGGACAAGATGGTCAGTAATCACTATTTGTCACGAATCGACATCTGATTTAAATGAACTCTTATTTTCCTCTGTCGATAAGCGATTTAATGTAGAAGATGAGAGACTGAATCCATTGGCCTTAATTGATCCCAGAAGGCCACCTTTGGAATCAGCAGTGCTTCTGTTGTCTGGAAGATCAACAGTTCCTTCAGAAACAGTCTTCTTCTCCTGCTGCTGCTGCTGCTGCTGTAACATTTCCAAACGCTTCAATGATGGCACATCTCCCTTACAGTACCGACGCCAAATACTCCTGTATATTTCCTCAAGATTTAGGCCAAATTTTGGCCCATCACACAGAGGAGATTTCAACATAAGATCCCGAAGACTCAGTCTCAACTTTGAGAGAGCAGTAAGATCTGATGCCAACTGCAGTGCCAACTGAACATATTCATCTTCATTCTTGGCAACCAAGTTTTCCAATCCTGTAATAATAGTACATCGATACAGCCTTCATCAAATAGGAATTAACTCCAACAAAGAAACACAATCAAGGTGATCAACTTCCAACAAAGATATACAAAATGCACATCCAAGGTGTAATGAAATGAAAGATTTATGTTGCTTTTTAACTATAATGTTCGGCCTTTTACCTTCAACCATCACATGGTATCCAGTACACCAAGTCTAGAGTGTTAGGAGGGAAAGGATATGGTGAGAGAATACCAAAGAGGAAGCTAGGATGCAAAGAAATCAAAGGAAAGAATCTGCTTATTAGAATAGAAAAGAAATAAGGGAGAGAATTCCCAGTATCATTACTCAAGATTCATCCGGTTGACAATAATATAATTTAGCAGAAGGGCTGAAGGATATCATCATTTTAGACCAGACTAAGCTGCTGATAGATCTAATAGCCATATATAAACAGGGTCCCTAGCATGCCAAGCAATTTACTATTCACTTCAGGATATTTAGATCATAATTCTAAATCTTTTAGTCTACTCAACAGTGCTAACAATTCTGAAAATGTCGAAGCATGACATACTACCAAAAAGATTATACTAAAATTCTGAAAATCACTTACCAACTGCCTTGAGGATACTCACACCAACATTATGAGCATGTACAGAACCTCCCATAGTGACACAAGGAACTCCCATGAATAGAGATTCACATGTAGTAGTTGTTCCCGCATAGGGGAAAGTATCCAAGCTGCATAAATATAACAATAATCACTTGTGTCCCCTCATGGTTTTTACCCATTCGCAAGTGGAATGGAAAAGATACCCAACATTTTTATAACAAGAAAAGAAATTACCTAATGTCCATAAGAGAGTATGCTTGCATATGATCATGGTTAAGAAGAATTAGAGGTAGCAGATCAACACGCTGTGGTTCCAGGCCCAACTGCTCCATTGTTGAAAGAAATCCCTGTCTTACACTATCGCAACAAAAAGGTTTACACTTTACAATCAACCGTGAATTAGGAACTGCACATAGGATCCTTGCCCATACTTGCAACACTTTTGGTGTTATCTGTCATTAGAAGAATGATTTAAGAGCAAACAAATGGCATCAGATCCTGCTATATGCATCATTTGTAACATACGACTACCTAAACCCATAATATTACCTTTGCCAGATTGTTAAAGCTACCAAAAGTTACAAAGCCATTGGACAGGGCAGGAGTTGAAGATACAGGACCCACTTCAGGGGAAGGTGTATAACAAAGAAAGCACTCTGGCAAACGAACCAACTCCTCAATATGTCTGTAATTAAAACATGCACAATAACTTAGATGTCTAGATCCACCACTTAAACAAACATCAGAGGAAAACCTTGAGAAGAAATGAATGTCACGTACTTTTGTTTTGTATCAGGAGGGTCGGCAAGTGCATCAGTAATTCTGTAGTCAATGGTAGGCAAGCCTGTAGTATTTGGGTAGCCAATCCAAGTCACCTATAAGAGTGGAAAGTCAACAAAAGCTTCTCCCAACAGGCCACACATAACGTTCTCAGCGAAAGACTAGTGAAGTATGTTACTATGAATTATAACCCTTATAAGAGATACTGGCTGGCTACGTAATAGAATTAGCAATTAAGACAACATGAAGCCAGCAAAATAGTTGTATGTTCCTACTAGCATACATTTTTTTATGGATGTCCAGACAGGAAAATTGATCATGGAAGTATGTAGAGTTGTAGACCTATGCTCTTAGTATTTATTATGCCCATAAATTGTCACATGTTATAATGTAAGTATTAAATCCTTAAAGTTAGGAGTAGTGACAGTGTACAACTGTACATATGCCAAAGTGGTCAAGTATTGACCCTTCTTCTACATGGCACATCAAAATTCATAGCAGTCCCAAGACCCATAAATAAGCATTACTTACAAAGTTGGTATTTGTCAACTATCAGGAAAAATCCATACTGAGATCCTAATAAATCATAAAGTAAAAGCACCATAAATAAAAAAGGTGGCCAGGTTACTTGTACACCAATCTTACCTGAACAGGGGCAGGTCGGCATGCCATCATTCCCAGCTTATTGTTTGCAGTATGACCAGTGAGTTCTACCAAGATGTCAACCTTATCTTCTCTGACCATGCTAGCAACTTTTTTCTCATCAATCCCATAGATATCTCTCCAGACCCCACCCTTTTTCAAAACTCTATCTCTAAATTTGTTGGTTTTTGCATCTGCCTGCAACACCATTGTATAACAGTGAGAAATGAAAGTTATGGTTCTTCAAACCAATCCATGGAACAATTACTAGAAGTATTTAGAGATACAAGGAAATTTACAACTGCAATATGACAGTACCTTAACAACAGCTGAATAGATGACCAATTTATATTTTGCATAGTCATGATAGGTAAGGGGAGCCTCAATGAAATATGACACAGAATGAGTGAAATAATCAGGAGACACATATCCAATAATCAGTGGTCTTTCTGGGTCTTTTGGATTGTCCCATGAAGTATGTTGTGGAAACAATCGCATGAAGCGCCTGCCCCAGTCCCTGCATGTACAGATTCAAGTAAAAAAATGTAAAAACAACACAACTTAAATCAAATATATATGTATACTAGTTCATGTCTACACGTTTGTTTCAAGAACTGTAGTCACAGTCAGATTAGTTTATTTATAAAATTCAAAGTTCTAAATGACTGCCTATATACAAGCCCTGACAAAACATTCCACAAAACTTTTGTAAATTGGAGTTTCAGACTTTTAGGACATTAGGATAAAACACAAAATCTCCTCTTTAAGAAGAGGAGCTTTACTTGATCTGATTCTATGAAATTGATCTATGAAACATATGTTAGATTAACAAAGTTATCACTATGCTGGAGATTTCTGTGATACAGAAACCCTTTTATGTGTGCATTGACAAAAAATGGGGTTGCTCTGGTATAAAGTTGAGCCATAAGATCTCGATTCAAGATAAATTAATGAGGAAGTGGTTATTAACTTAACACCGAAAACTAATAGATTCTTATAAGAGGGGCATACAGCAGGAGATGAGGTTCAGCACCTTCCATATCCAGTACACAGAACAACACATTTCATTAATGGTATTAGGTACCTGTGAGCCTCATATAATTTATCATCAGTTCCTTCATTTATGTAGTTCATTGCAAGCAATCGGTTCTGCAGAGCACAATTTACAACATATTTGAGACAAAATAACATTACTGAAATGACATCGTAAACACGTTAACAATTGTGGAAGTGCCAAAATTTGAGCCTCACTCCAACTGCTAATGAGATCATACATACACATGTACAAGGAGCACTACCTCCCACCCACCCCAAAAAGAAAAAGAAAAAACACACACACATCCCAATCTAAAAAAGAAAACACCAAATTAACAAACTGGTTATAAACTTAAATTGTGTAAGAACTTGGGCAAAGCTCTTATATCCCATGAAAAGCACAACATTCTTGTCTGGGAAATCAAACAAAAACCTTGAATGGAGTAATAAATTCAAGTAAAAACTATTAAGTATCAAGATGAATTTAGTTGTTGAGTTTCCCTCAATATAGAATTATGCCTTTTATCACATACACGGAATAATTAATATTAACGACTACCACTAGATGTAAACAACTGCAAGTCACACTCAAGTAATAAGCTGGTACCCTTGAGCAACATTCAGTATTATCAATTTATCATAGAAATCATGAATTAAACTGTAATCATAACTCACAAGTTTATAGTGTTAGGAGTTGAGGACTCTTAACGGATTCACAAGTGTACTGAACCAGAGTTATCTAATTAGAATCTAGGCACCAGGAATATCATTATGAGAATAAACATTACCTGCCCTGCATTTCGTGAATCAGAATCTATCTTAAGGCACTGTTCATATGCTTCAATGGCAAGAGATATGTTCCCAGCATCTCTGTACAGAACTCCTGTGTGCATAAAAATTTCTGAATTGTAACTTAAAACTACATCTCGCCAAAGGAAGTGTAATTACAAAATAAAATCTCCAAGAATCTCAACTAAGATTGTGTGGCAAGGCAAATAAGCTAGCTTTTAACTTACTAGGTCAAAACACTACTTATAGCTTATTAGAGTTGTCAGTGACCAACTGACCAAGCTTTTGATAAAAATTAAAGCTAGCCTACAAGAAGTTTCCTGGAAGCTTATATAGCTTCTAAAAGCTAGCTATCAATGATAATATTTTTCCAATTTTGCCCATGCTTATCAGCTAATTGCACCAAGCACAGCCTAATTGACATCAAAGATGCTTGCAGGACAATGAAGCTCCAATGAAATTCACAGGATATTAAAAGATGTCTTTCACATCATTTGTGATATCTTGTTAATGAACTTATGCCTCAATGCAACAGTTCTTTCATCTTTTCACAAGCACAAAATCTTTTACAGAGTTGCTAAATCTGATCCAAAAACAAGTTAATAGAGATCAAAGTCTCACCATTTCCAGGAAAAACAAGAAAAGGTTAATGTAGCAAAGTATCAATTTGGAATGTAACTTTGTTCCCATTATGACCAACATCCCAAAGTTCAAATTGGCAGGCCACCCACTAAACCAGCCAAATATATAAATGTTGATAAAAAGCAAGTTGACAGGAAACTCACAGAAAGACAGAAAGAGGTACCTAAGTTGTTATATGCTTCAGCATAGGTAGGGTTTGCAATAATAGCTTTCTGAATCATGCTTTGAGCTGCATCCATTTTACCCTATACAAATCATCAATGCTATCAACTGCTTCCAGAGACATGTATTAATAGCACTAAATAGAAAATAGATATTTTACCTGGACAGTATAGACTACCCCAAGATTATTTAGTGACTGAGAGAAATTTGGTTTGATCGACAAAGCCTTCTGCAAACATTGCAAGAGAAGAATGTCAAAAGATAATATGCAGTGAGTTCCAATAGGTGTATAAGATAGAGAACTGCCTGATAGCATTCCACTGCTTTATCAATGTTGTCCCGATCCTTGTATATCACTCCTAAATTGTTACATGCCTCTGCACACTGAGGATTGAAGTGGAAGGCAAGTTCATAGAACACAATTGCCTGAAAAAAGGATTGCTTAATTTAGTAACATCATTGTGCAGCTAATAGGAAACATATCCTTCTCATCAAATAAGTTGAAACACAAGAATGATAGGGAAATTAAGGAAATAAAAATGTAAAGGGGCAGCCACACAGGTAACTGTTTGTACATAATGGATTAGATTGAAACATTGAAGGGAAACTTGTAGTATTGTACAGTGATTATTACAAATACATACACCACAGACAATGGTCTCAAGCTTTTCCTAACACTTTGGTTCTAACAGAATCTATATTAGCCTATCTAAAGTTCTAAAGCCCACAATCCAATGGTTGAAAACCCAATGCAATGGCTGGCATGAGGAATGCAATGGCTGGCATGAGGTATGCAAGAGCAAATTTGATATCTCACTTTCTTCTCAACTTTTTGACAGTGTGAAACTTGAATTTTTTTTCTGAGTTTTGGCAGTTGACACCATGGTATATTGGTATCAGGACTTAAGAAATATAGTAACAAAGCTGATGTTTGGTGGTACCACATAATGATCATGTAGTTAAATTTCTCATGTGTACATAGATACATATTTACACACACATTTATGGATTTTCTTTCTCTCTTCTTGGGTTTTTTTATTCACCGAGGGAGTCTCAGGACAGAATTTAAAATTACCATGTCAAAATTCAGCATTTCCCCATAAGCAACTCCTAAATTATACATTGCATCTGCATAATGCCAATTGTAGTACAAAGCTTTCTTGTAATAAGCCACACCTTGATCAATGTCCCCCTCAAGTTTAACCTGTGAAAAAGAAATATCAGGAAAGAAACATTTGATGTATTTAAAACTTGCAATTCCTAACAGAATGAGAAAAACTAACATAGATAAATACCAGATTGAAAGCAATTGAAAATCTTTTATTAATTTTTTGAATCTCTGATTATCTAACAAATATACATAAATGAGTTAAAAGATCAAAGGCTAGAGTCAAAACCAGGATGTAAACATTTTTGAAACCCATACTAATGATGTTCTAGCACACAACATAGAGGTTTTTCGATTTTTGAAAAGATTATACCTAAGTGAAATGAAATTAATTACAAAAGCACTTGAATATAAATCAACACATTTCAAGATTACCTTTGTGCCAAAATCAGTCAAGGCAATAGCCATGTTATTCTTTGCAATCTCAAAGTTTGGAGACACAGCCAAACATCTGAATTCACGTAGGAAAGGGAAGCATTTCATTAGATGAAGGAAACATGAATAAAACTGAAAGTAAGATAATGAAACTCAATTAGATGGCTACCTCTCATAACAAGCAATGGCCGATTCCAAATCCCCACGATTTTTGTAGATAACACCCATATTGCAATATGCTTCAGCATACATGGGCCTTTCTAATGCTGCCTTCTCATAGCATCTAAGGGCCAAGTCATATTGCATCATTTCCGAATAGATGACACCAAGGTTATAATAAGCAGGCTGCATGTATCACAATCCATTAAAATCCAATATCTTTGCTAATTCTGCATCAGGACAAAAGTTAGAGAATGATGAATTTACAGCATAGTGTTGATCTATTTCAATTGCTTCGTAGTACTTCTGAATCCCTTCCTGGGTATTACCAGCAAGCTTTAAGCTGGTTCCAAGGTCTGTTAATACAATTGCAAGGCATTCTGCAGCTGCTTTATATGAAGAGTCTGCCCTAAGAGCTTTTTGATAAGACTGCTTTGGTAAAATTTGTTAAATCAGTACAGTAAACATCAAATCAAAAGGAAAAGAAAAGCAGCTAGTAAAACCTCCAATCAACTTTAAAACAAGGACAGAATGAGTTAGCTATCAAACAAGGTAGCAAATATCCAAGAACAATAGTAGATGAACATAGAAAAATAGGGGGGACATGTGAGAATCAAAAAAGGAAAAGATCTCAATAAGCTATTAACCAGCTCCAAAGGTAGGATTTATCAAGAACTAATGATAGCTTTAAACTTCACACACATTCAAGTAAATTCGTAAAGGGCATTTTACTACCTTCCGAAAAAATAGTTGCAAAGCTCAACAAATTAATAATAAATTAATAATTAATAATTAATAATAATTAATAATAATAATAATAATAATAATAATAATAATAATAAGAAACTGCTTAATGAATCTTAGAGCTCATTTTAAAGACCAATGAAGGTTATTGGACAACTTCTTCACTGTGATAGAAAAATCATGGCATTCTCAACTCTCAAATGCTGGGTCATGTTAATGATCATGAAAGAGAAAGGTCAATTTTAATTAGATATTAACTGCTAGAATTTGATTACCAAAATATTATTTTCTGCTGAAAAAAAGTGACTAGAAAATTAGAATGCCACACACATACCTCAGCTGCCTCTACCAGTCGACCCTCATCCTTGTACAAAATTCCACAATGTGTAAGTGCACATGCATTCTGTGGCTCCAATCTGATAGCTTCTGAAAAACATTCAAAAGCAGGCCTTGCCATGTTCTGCATCTGCAGGCAAATACCTTTGCCAATGAGAGCTTCGACATTCCCACTATCCTTCTCCAATACCTTCTCATAGATAGTAAGCGCATCAGAAAACTTGTTTCTTGAGCGGAGAATGTTTCCAAAAGAAACATCATCTTTCCCTTCAACTTTATTCTTCACAGGACTAATGCAACCTGGAGAGCCTCCACTGCCTGATGAAAGTTGGTCTGTTTTCAGAAAATCATTGCTAGTAACTGAGTCAGCTTCTTTCACATTTTCAGCATCATTCTCTGTCCATGCCATTGAACTAAGCTAGCAGAACGGCCCTAAACCAAGTGACATGATCAGCTTCTTCAAATCAAAACCTTAAAGAGAAAGTATTTCCAGAAGAAAAGTCATAAAGCATAGTTATTACATACCAACCTTAGCTAATTACTACAATCCCCATATTGCTGCTAATTTTTAATTCTTGAATTAGTTTCTTAACGAAAAGACTAACCAAATTCTCAATTGTTACTTCAAAAACACATTTTGTATGTTAATTGAAATTCAATGAAAAGACTAATTAAATCCCCAATTATTCAAAAACACAAGAAGACATCTGAATCACTTATATACCCTTGCAATCAAACTCCAGGCACAATCTAATATAATTCTTTGAGTATTGAGATAATAGGTTTCTTATCTCTAAGAATGGATTACATTGCCCTAACAGGAATGATTGCATAATTATACCAAGTGTAGCTAGAGTTTTGCATGCAGTATGTATAGCACCCTTATCCCCGAAGTCTCACCAGAAACTACTCGAAATGCTTGTGATAAGATGATAAACTGAAAATATACATGATTCTCTCTGCTATTCAGCTAATATACAACCCCCCAAATTTCAAATCTCCATACACAATTCCAGCCGACACTGTTTAAAGGCTTGATATGTTGAACAACGAATCAAGAAATCAATTCTAGAAACTGAGGCACTGCAAAATCATCTCACCAATTGAGAAACACAAAAAAGATTATAAGTGAACTCTATGAAACAAAAACAAGAACCGGAAATTTTATGCATATAAGCATATGGGTATGAGTAAAAGATTTGATACCTCCAAATAGAGACAGTTACAGAGCTTCTTCACTATGATCTTCAGTCATCTACAACAACTTGAAGCCAGTAACGTAATTCTTCCCTAGAGTAGGAGACGATGGCGAGAGCAAGAATTACAGTATTAGGGTTTGTCTTCTTTTCTTTTTATTTTTCTTTTTCTCTTTTTTTTTTTTAACAACTATAGTCTCTTGCGAAATGAACAAATGGCAAATACCAACCCGCCCCTCAAAAAATCAAAAATCACCTCCCATAGGTGAACCAAACGAATGGTACTTTTTTTTCTTTAGAAATTCTTCATTGTCAAAAAACACATTCCTTATTACTTTAAGAAAGAATATCTCCATTAGTGAAATTTTTAATTAATTTGAATAATAGAGGGATAAGAGAGAAGATAAATTGAGAATATTATTTTAGGTAAACTTTAAGAAAAAATGAAATATGAGTTAAAGTTGTTGCACACACCAATGACACCCAGCAAGTAAGTGCAAAGAACACACCAGTTGGATGCGTTAGGGTGGTAGCCACTCTTTTCACTTATTTTCTTCTTCTTCTTATTTTTGTTTTTTATTGCCACTCTTTTCGCTTTTTTTTTTTAAATATTTATATTTATTTTCTCAATCCAATAACTCGAAATTGTACATTGTGACCTATTATGTACGAACATTGCTAATATACTTTTTATCACACTCACACAACAAAATCAAAACAAAATCATAGCAAAATAACTGGGAACAAAACCTGGTGTCTCGGTTTCCACTTCGAAAATTAGAGATCTAGTTCCCGAAGTGAAACCAGATGGTTTCCGCTCAGAAACCAGTCGGTCAGACTGGTTTTCAGAAGTTTCCAACTGTGGATTTTCGTCCCCGCAGCCGGAAACCATCTCAGATGGCCGAGATCTGTTAGATCTGCCACTGGAGAAAAAAAAAAAAAAAAAAAAAAAAAAAAAAAAAAAAAAAAAAAAAAAAAAAAGGAGGAAATATACCTTGGTAGTAAGAAGAAAGGCAAGAAGATGAAGAAGAAAGGCTTGGAAAATAGTGGTCTGTTGGTAGAGAAAGGCTTGGAAGATGAAGAAGAATGGTGTGGTCTGTTGGTAGAAAAAGGCTTGGAATATGAAGAAGAATGGTGCGGTCTCTTGGTAGAGAAAAGCTTGGAAAATGACTTCTCAAAAAAAAAAAAAAAAAAAAAAGGGGAAGTCATTTTCCTGAAAAACTTGCCTATTTTTCATTGACCAAAACATTGTTTTCCAGTGACTTTAAATTTTCCTCCTTGCCAAACACTAGAAACCCGAAAAATGATTTCTAGAAATCATTTTTCGAGTTTCCAAACACACCCTAAAAGTGATTGTTTTTTGTATATGCTATGTGCTTTAATGTGTGATATTAGACGCCACTAAACGCGATTAATGATTATTATATAAGCATGTTGTAACCAATTGAACTTTCAAATATGATGTTAATAGACTACCAAATAATGAATCGACTTTAACTAAAACTCATTCCAATTGCCAAAATTTAATTATGATTATGATATTCCAACAAAATTGTCCCTAAATTTGTTTGATTTATGGAATTGAGTGTTTGTATTTAAAAACCAAAAAAAAAAAAACAAAAAAAAAACAAAAAAAAAAACAAAAACAAAAACAAACAAACAAAAAACAAACAAAAAATAAAACAAAAAAAAATAAAACAAAAACAAAAAAACTGGATCATTTGATATTTGGATTTTTTTAAATTGAATGCTTGAAAATTAATATTATTTTTATTTTTGCATGCTTAAAATTCTATATTATAATTTATTTTATTTTAAAAAACTTAATATATGTGATCCAATCAACCTCTAATGTGTCAAATCAATCATTAGTGGATTGAGTTGAATTAGATCCGCACTCCTAATAATTGTAAAAGCATATGAAAAATTCTAATCTTACCTTTGGCAAAATTGGATGTTGAATCATCTCACTTTCGCTCACATCCGCTTTGTGATAACCCCTATCAAGAAGTACATTTAAATTTTACTAAGGAGTGGAAAATGGTGTCCTTATGTAAAAGAAATGATGAAATATTGATTAATGGATATTATAATAAGCTCAATCAAAAAGGTTAATTAAGTAGTCCAAGGAGCAGGCTATGACCTGGAGGCCAATTAGGTATAACATGCTTATCTAGTAATCATTAAACGCGTCTAGTGACATTTAATGCCACGCGTTGAGTCACCGCAATAGGCACAGTTTGCAAGGTACACACAAATCCTATTGCGTACGATTGTCTAAGTGTTATTCTTAAGATTTCACGAAGGTTGTAGTATAAATAGGCATCTCATACAATGAACCTATAACCAACTAGAGCTATCGAAATGGGCTGGCGAGGCAGGGTTCATCAAAGCCCGCCAACAATATGGGCCTAATCGAGGCCGCCCCTGTGACACCCTGTAAATCCAAACACTAAACGATGATTAATTGAAGAATTAATCCAAGTTCTCTTGCTAACCTATTTCCAAAAATCCTGAAATTTAATAATCGAATGACTAGATTTTGACTAGTCACTTAAGTCAAAGGGTTGTACCTTGTGCTTCTTGAGTTGCGCCCTTGTTCCCTTGTCTTTCCAACATTAGTAAGGGTAGGAATGTCTTTCTACCTAAGAATTGTGATTCAAGCTAACCTAGCACGACACTTCATTTCATTCACTCTTCAACCTAAAACTCAAAAACTCTAGCCTCTCTCTAAAATGATTTAGCTTCTTCTCCAAGCTAGAAATTGAGCATCCAAGTCTTGCAAGATTTTCTTCAAAGATTCCTACTTTCTTCATCTTGAGCATAGGAAAGGGTAAGATCCTTATCTTTTTGGTGTTTTTAACCTTCTTTAAGTTGTCTTTTTATAAAGTTAGGATATTTGTTGTGTTTAGGTGTGTGTAAGAAGTTGGTGTAGAAGAGGAGCTTTATGAAAGGCTTTTTAAGGGTGAAAAGAGGAAGTTGTTAGGCTACAAAGGTAACTCATGCTTTACAAAACCTATTTTCTTACTTATATGATGATTCTTGGCTTCCACTTATGATTCTTGTGTTGATTTGTGAGAAGTGATGCATTATCTTGTGGTGATGCATGTTTAGAGCTTGTTCTTAGGGTTCTTGAATGCCATTGCTTGGCTATTTCTTGGGTTCAAGTCATATTATTGTTGTGTGTGAGATTTTGGGTGTTTTGGACTTGGACTTGGCCTTGTTGTTGAAAATCCCCGAAGGGATATTTTTGTGTACAGGTGTGTACCCGCGGGCGGAACGGCGAGCAGGGCCCTACCCGCGGGGAACCGGTGGTTCCTGGGTGTGTACCCGCGGGCGGAACCGTGAGTGGAGGTCCACCCGTGGCCCCACCCGCGGGGAACGTTGTTGGTTGATGTCGGAGATTTGTTCCCCGTGATTCTTTCTTCTCGGTATTGATGTTTTGACCTTTCGTTGTTGATTTATTGGGCTATTTGTGAGTCTTCTTGATGTTTCATATGTCTAGAACGGTGTGTTAGGAATCCATGATAGGATTTGGCGTCTTGAATCGTGCTAAGGGTCCAACTTTGTGATTCGTTGGGCTGATGTGAGTCTTGAATGTTCTTTGGAACTACTTTTGGTTTACCCGTTTGATAAGCATGCTAGTTTGATGTTGAAATGCTAGTATGTGTGGTTTATTCATTCTTATTGGGATTGGCAATTTGTGTTGACAATCATTTGGTGTTGGATTGTAATCCTTTATTGTTGAGTATGGTCTCATTTCTTTATTGTGATCTCTTGATTGATTCCTATGATGTGAACGTATGTAAATCGTTGTACCCTTTGTTGATACTTGATTGAGGTTATTGTTGAGCCTTAGTCCTCTTGGTAATGATGATGACCTTGTGTGACTATGATTGAGATTGGTGGTTTGTTATTTGAGCTTTGCTCACGAGTTGGCGGTTGTGTGAATGAAATTAATGGTACCCTCGTGTACTAAGAGTTCGGTGGTAATGTTGGAGGTTGTTGGAGTGGAGACGACGGTCCTCGGAGGTAAAAGGTTGGACTCAGAAGTACAGGCTGGCACTAGGAGGTAATGGTCGGAACCGAAATAAGGCCGGGGGTAGCCATAAGGTTGGAACAGGGCATAAGGTTGGAACTATGATACTTGTGACATGTAGTTGTCACTGTGGCATGTAGTTGTCACCGTGTGAATGTGAATTCCTTGCTTATGAGTATGTCTTGATGTATCCTACTTTGTGATCAGTAGAATGCATCCTGAGTTGTGTTGTCTTTCGTGTTTGTAGTCTTGTTGTTGTTGTGAGGATGGTGATCCTCGTTTCTATTGAGAGTGATTGATGAGTCTTTGGTGTTGACTTCTCTCTTTGGTTTTAAAATGATATATATTGTATTCCCGTTCTAAATGGTTTTGTTTATATCTATCTATATATGATATTTAACACGTATTGATGGGTTACCAACAATATTCGCTGACCGGGTGTTATCCCTTGATTTTACAGGTTTTGAGTAGATGCCTTAGTACTGCTATGTTTTGTTTGATTGTTGTTGACTAGCCTGTGCACCCATGGTTTATAGGTGTGGCATAACACTTACCGATTTTATATAGCTTCCGTTTGCTTTATGCCTTGATGATTAGATGTTTAACTTTGAATTTAAGTTTTAAAATTGTGGTAAAAATCGGGGGTGTTACAACCCCCCGCATTAAGTCCGGGCCTTGGCGAGTGCCCACCAAATTTTAAAAGTTTTATATTTAAATAAAAATTAATATAAAAAATGTTAATAAGTTTATACTAAAATAATTTGGAAAGTTTAAACATACATTAATGCGTTTCTAATTTGTTAAATACAATAATAACTAATAAAGTAATAAATCATAATAAATAATAAATACATAATGTGTTAATTCATAAGTCAATAACAAATTATTTATACAATGTACTAATTACTAATACACATTTTCAATATAAATGAATAAATAAATAAATAAATAAATAAATATATATATATATATATATATATATATATATATATATATATATATATATATATATATTCCCTATACTTTATTTTATCTATCATATTTAATATTCAATTATTCATTAGTCAAACTGACTCTTTATTCTTTGTTTATTTTCTTTATTAGTTTTTAGTTATTTTTAAATTTAAAATTTTGTGTTTTATAGTACTTTTAATG